TATTCACTAACTTAAATTCAATATTGTTATGTAAGTAATGTGATATTATTCACTAACTTAAATTCAATATTGTTATGTAAGTAATGTGATATTATTCACTAACTTAAATTCAATATTGTTATGTAAGTCATGTGATATTATTCACTAACTTGAATTCAATATTGTTATGTAAGTAATGAGATATTATTCACTAACTTAAATTCAATATTGTTATGTAAGTAATGTGATACTGTTCATTAATATAATTAACCGTGTGTAGCTTTAACTTAATATAATGTTTACTTGTTATAAGTAAACATTGTTATATGTAACCAGTGTTATTTAGGGTAAGATTACTCTAATGATAAAAAGTTACAGCAAGTTAGTAGTCGACAAATTTTAGATTACTGAATTACTTTAACTGTGTTTGTCAGAGATTACCAGAGAACAACATTAAGATGTTAACCTATTTAATTATGACTAAGTCTAGTTATATACTGAAAACGTCTGTCTGTCATCACGTGCCTCTTAAAGTAGTACAGTAATTGTGTGACAGTTTGTAGGGAGGAACCCATCGGAATGATGTAAATCATATTTCCAGCTTGTACTGATTTCCTACGGTGTTGTATATGTGACACATTTTTACGTAGAACGGTTTAGGATTAAGACAATAACTTAACCCTAAATGTTGTCCCTAAATATGCCTATGATTTTAATGAAGGATAGTTTGGAAATGCTTTTAAAAACACTGAAAACAAGCTGAAAATAGGTTGATAGTCTTGTGAGAAAGACTGATTAACAAATTCCATTATTTGTCCAGCTCTGCCATTCACTACTGATTTAAGTGTAATGTAATTAACGTTGTTCGTTCACTACTGATTTAAGTGTAATGTAATTAACGTTGTTCGTTCACTACTGATTTAAGTGTAATGTAATTAACGTTGTTCGTTCACTACTGATTTAAGTGTAGTGTAATTAATGTTGTTCGTTCACTACTGATTTAAGTGTAATGTAATTAACGTTGTTCGTTCACTACTGATTTAAGTGTAATGTAATTAACGTTGTTCGTTCACTACTGATTTAAGTGTAGTGTAATTAATGTTGT